AACATTTCTTCAGTGCCAGACCTCTCTCCAAACCTATGCTGGCTCCCTCTCTCAAGGTATCTCCTTTCTTGCCCTTCTCTATTCCTCCCATCAGAGTCCTCCTGATCCCTCCTGTTCTTCACCCCTCCCCTTCCGACCACCTCTACTTCCCCCCTCCAGTGCTCTCAATTTGTTCAGGGGTTCTTGTGCCCCCTTCCCTTCTTTGGGGGGACCATGTGTTCTTCTTTTGGAGTCTTCCTTGTTTCCTAGTTTCTCTGGTGGTGTGGTTTGTAGGCTGGTAGTCCTTTGTGCTATGTCTAATATCCATATAAGTGAGTACATACTCTGCTTGTCTTTCTGTGACTGGGTTACCTCACTCAGGATGGTTTCTTTTAGTTCCATCCATTTGCCTGTGAATTTCAAGATTTCATTGTTTTTTTTCCGCTGAGTAATACTCTATTGTGTAAATGTACCACATTTTCTCCATCCATTCTTCAGTTGAGGGCCATCTAGGTTCTGGCTATTACAAACAACACTGCTATGAACATAGCTAAACATATGTCCCTGCTGTATGAATGTGCATTCTTTGGGTGTATGTCCAATAGTGGAATTGCTGCATCTTGAGGTAGACTGATTCCCATTTTTAAGAGAAATCTCCATACTGATTTCCAAAGTGGTCATACAAGTTTGCACTCCCACCAGCAATGGAGGAGTGTCTCTCTTTCTTTACATGCTCTTCAGCATAGACTGTTATTGGTGGTTTTGATTTTAGGCATTTTGGCTGGTATAAGATGGAATCTCAACATTGTTTTGAGTTGCATTTCCCTGATGGCTAAGGATGTTAAGCACTTTCTTATGTGTACTTTAGCCATTTTAGATTCCTCTATTGAGAATTCTTTATTTAATTCTGTAACCCACTTTTTAATTGGATTGTTTGATATTTTGGTGGCTAGCTTCTTGAGTTCATTGTATATTTTGGAAATCAGTCCTCTGTCAGATGTGGGGTTAGTGAATATTTTTTTCCATTCTGTGGGCTGCTGTTTTGTCTTATTGACTGTGTCCTTTTTCTTACAGAAGCTTCTCAGTTTCAGGAGGTCCCATTTATTAATTGTCAGTCTCAGTATCTATACCAGTTTGTTCAAGGGTACCTCCCACTTTCTCTTCTAAGAGGTTCAGTGTGGCTGTATTTATGTTGAGGTCTTTGATTCATTTGGATTTAAGTTTTCTGCATGGCAGTAGATAAGGATCTATCTGCGGTCTTCTATATATTAGCATCCTGTTATACCAGCAATTAATGGTTGCTAAGATGTGGGAAATCATATTCCTCAATGGCAGCCTCTGGTAAATTGCCTTTCCTCCCTCTCATGCTCATAAGGCAGTCCTAATCTGAGACAGTGGGACACAAAACAACACTCAGAACACTAACGGAAATAAGAGGGCAACTTCTTGGCAACTTCCACCCCTCTTCCTGTTGGGGTGGAAGAGGAAAAGGCAGGATAATGGGGGACAATATGATCCAAGTGCAGACTGCATGTGCCATGCATGCGCATGTGTTGTGAACTGTCAAAGAACAAATGAAGAGTTTTAAGAAATGACAAAGATTATCCATGTATGAATCAACTGACACATATGGAACTAAAACTATGCTGATTATGAGTGTTAAGGGAGATACTGTTTGTTTATTTAACAAAATATAAAGCTTTTAATGGATAGAAATGTTTATAAAATCTGAAACCCACAAACTACAATTGACAGACCGATTCTTACATTAGTTTCTTGTCTCTTGCTGGGAACAAACATTAATAACAAAATATTTTATAAGATCCTCTTAAAGAGGGTTGAGTCATTCTATAGAATAATGAAGAGCAATTGAGAGAGACATGTTGATGTTTAGTTTTACAAGTTGTTATTATTATGAGGAAAAGAAAACTGTGTAAATTGAGGATGTAAATAGTATCATTCTTGCATACAAAGTCAGAGAAAATAACTATTTCTGTGCTAATGATTCCTTTACTTACTAGTTGTTTTATATCCCAATAAAGAAAAAAGTTTTGGGCTGGAAAGATGGTTCAGTGTAGCACTGACTCTTCTTCCAGAAGACCTGGGCATGGCTTCCAGGACCCACATGTTAGCTCACAACTGTCTGTAACTCCTGTTCTGAGGAATCCAAAACCCTATTCTATGTTTCACAGGTGCCAGACAAGCATGTGGTGGACATACCTGCAGGTAAAACACCCATACAAATAAAAATAAATCTTAAAAAGGGATTATGAAATCGTGTATGTAACACTATTAATACTTACACTGCACAGTGTTTTAACTGTGTGTGTGTGCGTTTGCATAAAGCAAGTTGCACTCCTTTACTACACTCACTCTTAACCCTTCTTATCCCTTCTGCTATGTGCTATGGGAAGAATCAGCATCAAAGCCCCCACTAGGGTTCATTGCATTATAAATTACCCACTCTAGGCATTGCTTATGTGTGTGTGTGTGTGTACATATATTACAAAGTTACACAGTTCATATAAGGTAGATTGAGACACACATGTAGAAAAATTAAGAATTTTACTGTTAGCTGAATGGTGGTGGTGTATGCCTTTAATCTCAAAAGCAGGTCAGCCTGGTCTATAGATTAAGTTCCAGAACAGCCAGGGATACATGGATTAAATCCTGTCTTGAAAATCCAATTTTTTTTACTCTTTTTGAGTACATTTTTCTTTTATTGAAAATGGATACTTTCATGTAATATATCCTGATTATAGTTTTCTCTCCCTCTTCTCCCCCCAGTTTCACCTCACCTCCTGACCCATCTGTATCTAACCCCTTTCTGTCTCTCATAAGAAAAGAAACAGGCTCTAATGGATAATAATTAAATTCAATTAAAACAAAAAACCAAACACACTGAGACAGGACAAAACAAGGAAACAGAAGGAAAGAGCCCAAGAAAAGGCACGAGAACAGATACAGATGCAGAGACCAACTCTCTGGAATCCCATTAAAACACAAAACCAGAAGCTAGAATATATACAATATATACATAAAGGATGTTAGGGTAAAAAGAGAACAAAAAATAAAAAAAGAGTAAATATTAAAAAAAGAAAAAGCCCTGACATGACATTGTGAGACAAGGAACCTCCAAAGATGTCAGTGAGTCATTTCCTGCTGGCCATCTACCACTGTGCATGCAGCCTACCCATAGGAGTAAGTTTCCTTCCCCAGGGAGACTCCCTTGGAGAAAACTGCATTTTTATTAGCACATAGTTATCAACTGGAGATAGCTTCTGGGTTAGGGATGGAGCACATGTCCACTCCTTTCAGCTCTAGGGCCAAACTGGTGCTAACCCATGCGGGCCTTGTGCATGCTCCCTCAGCCTATGAGTTCATACGGGCATGGATCCTGTTGATTTAGAGGGCCCTGCTTCCTTGGTGTCCTCCAACCCCTCTGGTTCTTGCAGTTCTTCTGCCTTCTCTTTCACAGGGGTCCCTGAGCAGTGAGGGAAGGGATCGATGGAGACAGCTCATTTAGGGCTGAGAGTTTCATGGTCTCTCACTTTGCATACTGTCTGGTTGTAGGGATCAGTATTTATTCTCATCTGCTGCAGGAGGAAGCGTCTTTTTGAGTATGCTTTATAAAATCTCTGCCTTTACGATTTCTATGACTTTGAAATGTATATCACAAACTCATTAAGTAGGGTTTGTACTTAGTCCAATTTTCACTGTGTTGGAACATGTAATACTGTAGCTAATTGTCAAAAATATGTGTTTACATTATAATGGGCTATGTGTATGTGTGAGAAAAATTGTCAAAGCTTAAAATGTCCCTCATGTCATATTATGGTTTGTCTACCTGTGTACTCTTCCACAGACACTGAGAAGCAAATTAACCACCCAAACACATGTGACATTTTACAAGTGTGTCAGTTTTCTATGGATGCTGTAACAAAGTACTATAAATTTAATGTTAAGGATACAAAAAGACCAAAATCAGGTATCAGGTGGACTCACTTTCTGCGTTGGCTGCTTGTCTTCCTAGACAAACTAGGTGTTTGCATTTTGGTGGCAATCTTTTGCATCATTTCTGTTACGTGGCTGTTCTTTGCCTGTGTATCTTCATGATGTATTTCCTCCGTGTCTATCTGACTCAGGGTACAAGTTTCCTCTCTATAAAAATACCTATCATGGAGGATTAAAGCTCACCCAAATGGCCACATTTTTACTAATTTCCCTCTACAATGACTTTATTTCAAATAAGATCACATTAAGAAGTTATGGAAGTTCAGCCTAGTTTTCAGGGAGTAACAATTCAAGCCACACACACACACACAAAATCAACCACTGCAGATGTTTTTTTTTTTTTTTTTTTGCTGGGAAGATACTAGACTTAGTATTCAAGAACCAAACAGAACATTGTAGATCAATTTCTTTTATCATTTCCACCAAGAAAATGCAATATTTTACATTTAACCCAAAATACTTCTCTCATACATCCCACAGAAACCAGAAGCAAAAGTATCATAAGACAATTATTTATCCTTATTATATAGTATGAACTTTTTATAACTAGTCCTAGAATGGAAATGAAATAATTCTGTTAAGTATCTTTAGTGACATTTCCATAACAATTTCTCATAGCATATTATAAAAGGCAAAGCTCATGTTATATAACATACATTGTGTGTGTGTGTGTGTGTACATCTATCTATATATATACACACACATATATATACACACACACAATTTTAGAGGTGGCATTTAGATGAGCAAACACTTCATTTAACCAGCCTTCACTTATACAACTGATTATTTAAAGAATGATGTAAATTTAATGGTATAAACTTAAAGGTTACCTATGTAAGAATTAAAGGTAAAAAATTATGTCCTAGGTCATTTAAATACTATAAAAATCCTTTAAATCCTTAGAGTTTAATTTAATTGAGGAATTTCTTCAGCCACAATTACAATATCAGTTACAGGAGTTTCTCAAACAATATTTACTTGAACTGAAGTATAAAATGTTTTACCTGTAGTAAACTCGTAATGTCTGTATTTCTTCTTCCAGCCTTCTGTATTGTTCAACTGCAGTCTCTCTGGCTTGCTTCATTGATAGTAATTTTGCCTGCAAATATTAGTTTTGGCATGTTAAAACACAGGATTAAGTGTGAATATGAGTTAACCTTTGTTAGTTTAAAATTGTAGCCACATTTTTAGCAGTCAAAAATTCCCACAAAATAGTCCAAGATATTGTTAATAGAAATACTAAAGACAAAATTTAGTAAGTGTATTAACTTTGCTAGTTACTAAGCTTCAACCTTATTTTATCTGTATTATCAGATATGCCCTTCTGCAATGTTTAACTTTATACACAGAACTCAGAATGTGGAACATGGGTTCAGAGAAGTGTCTACAGTAGAGATAAGCACAATGGGCATTTCAGATACAAATTTAATGTGGCTCCACTGCCTGATCTCACTAGATTTTCTTTTAACTTTATTAACAGTAAAACTCAGAAAATTCTAAGTATGTTGTCAAGCTATCTTTGATACACAAAACTATGACCTGATTCTTACAGATATAACTTAACTCTTTCAATCCCTTTCTGCAAGGAAATTTTTTTCTCTAAAAATTAGATTGATGGCAACTTTCACTGCTAGAGATACTTTGTTGAGGATGTAATCTTAAAGCATAGGCAATAAAGCCTACAAAATTTTAAATTGAGAGTATTTTAGCTGGTAAAACATAATCATCATACATCTTAATGGGAACTGAGGTATTTTCATGTATGTATACATAGTGTGATATTTGGAAAAAGGTAAACGTTTCTATTTCTTATAGATTTATCAGTCTTTCGTGGCATAAACTTACAAGGTATTTTTCTCCTAGCGTTTTGCAGTGAACTATTACCTCAATTGTTATTTTGGTAAAGCTCAATGTTGTAATTTTAAAATAATTTTCCATGATCCGACCACCAATCCCACAATTTTAAGAAATGATTACTTTAAAAATATGGCACTAGTAAGTCAAGTTTTAGTATTATTTATTCAAAGTTTAATTTGCATGAAAATGCTCTCTTTGAGTTTAAATAGTCTTTGACAGTGAACATGCAATTGTTTCAAACCTTGAAAACAACCCTGTCAATAATTAAAAGTAATTTAAAGTCTGGAGTTTCAGCATTTTGTTGAATGCATATGATTTCAGTGGAATTAGTTTCCTGCATAAGAATGTAGTAAATAAGAAAAATAATAAAAACCCAATTATGAGAAAATTAATTAGTGTAATGAAAATGAACACTAGATAATGCAACTTTTCTATTTTAATAATTGAAAATTACAAAAGCATTCAGCAGTCTGGATATTTGCATGTAAGTTTAGGTACAAGATATTAGTTTATTTTCTATCTGGGCTAAGGAATTCTTACAGATTTATTCTGTAATTAAATTTAAAAAGTTTGAATGATTGCTTTAATCTTCTATATTCATAGCTATAGGTGAGATATCCCACAAACTAGGAAAAAACATTCAAAATAAACTCTCATTTCCATGTTAAAAATGTTTTTCTACTTTACTGTAGTTTTATCCTTTAGGCATATTTTATTGGTTGTATTTTTGTACCTTTTCTAATTACAGTCTTATTTTTAGATCAAATTCCATGAAAGTGAAACATATATAAAGACATCAAGTAAGTATTCAAACAGATTTTAATAATTAGGCTTACGAGTTGTAAGTTCCAGAAAGTTAAACTCATTGATTTCAAACCTATTATCTGTATTTTTATGAGGCAGAGTAAGAACTTTTGGTGAGGATGTTCTGGTACACACAGTTCAGCCTAGGTCTTGACCATAAGGCAGTCTTCTCTTCAGCTTTTCAATGGTTCCACTACAGGCATGAGCCACTACACCTGGTTTCTTCTGTAAATTCTGACCAACAAGCGTGGTCACGTGACAAGCATCACATTCAAGAAACAAAGCATTCCCATTATCTCCATATGTCTCATGGAGCACCAATGTAGTCACTAGCCTCCTTTTATACTTAACCTTTGTCCCTCCCTATATCTTTGCCTTCTTTAGCTTATTTTACTTAATATATTTTGAGATGAATCTACATTATTGCCTTTATAACCAGTGAGCAATGCTACACTGAGAGCCATAATGTGACTATCTATTCACCAGTTGACTGACATTTTACTTTTATTTTAGAAGTCATTAATACAATTGCTATAAATATCTGTATAAATGCCATTTTCATTTTTCTTGAGTAGCTGCCTAGAAGCAGAATTTCTGGGTCTTATGGTGTGTATATTTATATATTTCATGACGCTATCACAAAACTTGGTGATTTCACTGAAACAATGTTAAAGGTTCCATCTTGGAAGGATGTTAGCAGTTGAATTTCTCTTACGGGATGAGATGGTACCAAGTGCTTGAAAGACATTACTACAGTCTATCCTTTCAAACAAACAATAGGATGATCCACATTATTTCCAGCTTAAATGATGAATCAAATCACCATTAGGCAACAGAATTACTGACAACCAGATTAATCATAATGCATTTTCCACATTCCGTGTCCTTTTATGATACCTGAAATAATAAAGACTTGTTGGTTGCCTAGTGCTAATGTATATACCTATTTTGAGTACTGTGGTTGGAATAGGACAGCCATTTACTACAACAGAAAGGAAATACACGTTGATAGTAAGTCTTTTCTAGCAGTTTGAAGTTGCAGATAAATGCAGGATTATAGTTTTCACAGAACTGAACAATATTTACTGTTGCTATTATGGATAAGGATCTTTATCTTACTTTGAAATCTTTTTATGTTTGGTTTCAATGTGTTTTTAATAGTTATAGTCTGAAATAGTTCAGCCTTCCTTTGGTATCACCAAGATCAATTAATGCAAACCACTCTTCAAGACAGAGAACAGGCAGCTCCTTGTCTTCATGACATCTACTAAATAAAGGAGCACGATGACAAATTAAATTGAGTCAGGATGCAGATTTGGGAAGCGCCTTAGAGGTAACACAGTCTTCTGTTTTCATGATAAGGAAATTGTTGCTATTGCAAACACTTGGAACCTGTCCAAGGTTTCACAGCTAATTAAAAAGTAGGCTGAAATTAGAACAGAAATATTCATAAAGCATTGTTTGTTTTATAAGACCACACTTTAATATGACATAATTTAAGAGTATGCTAATTTTTAAACTCATAATTTTTACAAATAACCTTAAGTATATTGAACTCTGTGATGACTATGAACGTATCTAAAGACATCTTCTTGAATGTCTTTAAAGATGGGTCTAGATGATTGTTCAAGCAAGGGCTATACATCATGTAGGATTTTAGCTCTCAAACTTGCAAGCAGAAGAAGAATTCAGTAGATAACATGTAACTTAAATGCTGGCAAAAACATAACCTAAAAATTGAAAACCATTATCAAAATGATAAAAGTCAGATTTCATTTACAGCTCCTTCTCAGAGACAGACTTTGTTTGCTCAATACATTGTGTAAAGCTCTTTAGAGCATTTTTAGTGGTTGTATTTTACCCTCATGTGGTGACTTTTGACTTACCAAAATGGACACAATTGAATCCTTCATTCAAAGAGAATATATGCACTGTTCAATGATCTATGAGGTGATCTGACATGAGAGAGAAAACAGGCGATTGTGGAAACAGAAATTATCATACTAATAATTGAAGTTTATCCTTGACTGGAAGCATGACTCACAGAACTGAGACAGAGTGTTGGAAGTATGGTAGAAACACAGCATGACAAGGTCTGTGGAACCAGAAACTTGGGGTATCCTGGTCCCTCCGTGCAAGCTGTCTGTGCAGGCAATCTGGTATTCCATTTCTCACCTACAAAGTGGGGTAAGCTAAAATCTATTCTCAAGGTGCCGATACTAATAAAATATAATAAAACAAATGAAATACATAAAATATACCCAGAGCATAGAAAATGCTTTAATGTGCTGTTGGTGAATAAATCGTAGGAAAAAAGCTGAATCACCAACTTGGTGAGTTAGGAGTTGGAGAGGTAGTAAATAGCTACCAAACAGGTGAAGAAAATAAATCTTCAGCATCACTCTCCCTTTTAAGCTCAATACTTTTTGACTCAGACCAAGGATAACGAGCCTCTGTGAAGTAGTTTCTGGGTTTTCTTGTGATACTGAGTATCTTTACCAAGAAAATCACTGTGGACCAAGATAGGGCATATACACCATTTAATAATTATGTGCAATATATTAATAATTGTAAAGAAAAAAAGACAGCCTTGCTTTCTCAGGCACATATTGCTCTATCCTCTTTCTTGGCTATACAGCTTCTGCATAGTTCTCACTATTATGAAGTTTATAAGAGATTTAAGTATAAGATGTTATTGAATTTGACATAGTGGGGAAATTGAATGCTTTTACTGAAGGCATAAATGTTATTTCTACAATTTTGGAAGGGAATAAAATAAGAGAGAACAGTATCATTAACTGTGTGGATATTTTAGCAACAAGAAAGGGGGTATAGAAAGAAATCCAGGTTTCCCAAACATCATAGTATGTTATAATTTTATATGCATCCATAACAAAATGAAAATACTGCACAGCAAACAGCATTCTATGGAGTCATTTACTTATTTCTACAATGCACCATCATGGTAACTCCTATTTCCACTTTCCAAACAGAAGATTATTATGTAACTTACAAAACATCAGTTTATTACTCAATGATAGAACAAGAATTTGAATTCAGCACTCTGGGTTCAAAAGACTCCTTGCCCTTAACCATTACAGTCTAAACACTAGGCAGAATTTGGTACTTCAAAAATCAGGTGTTTAGAAGCAGAGATCCACAGCTAAGCACTGAGCTCAACTCCTGGAATCCAGTTGTAGATATGGAGGAGTAATGAGCAAAGGGGTAAAGACCAGGCTAGGGAAACCCACAGAAACACCTGACCTGAACAATGGGTAAGGAGTTCATGGACCCCAGCCAGAAACCTGGGGAGCCAGCATACGATCGAACCAGGTCCCCCGAACTTAAGTGTCAGTTAGGAGGCTTGGGCATCTATGGGGCCTCTTGAGATGGAACCAGTATTTATTCCTAGTGCATGAATGGACTTTGTGAGCCAAT